GGAGCTGCCCCACAGAAGAGCCCAGCCCTCAACTCCACACTGGGCCTACCGGCAGAGCACCTTTGAAGCCCCAGCCCAGTGGAGCAGGAGCTCGGAGGACTGCCGGGCCAGCTGACCCTTCTGGGGGCCCAAGCTCAGAGCCAGGTGGCTGGCGACCTGAGACAGGGTTCTGGCCACGGCAGGAGCCAGCCTGGACGGAGGCTAATGAGCCATGGGCAGCCCCAGGGTGGGAAGGCAGGGCTACAGCCAGAGCCGAGGGCATTGGGTGGGACTGGCTGGGCCGACTCTCGCCCACCCCACCCAGTCTGCCCCCCCCCAGGAGCTCTCCTGGGCACCTGCTGGTTGCTGGGAGCTGCCAGGAGTCAGTCACCATCACCTGGGCCACAGTCCACAAGGGTTAGAGGCCCCGTGCCCCAGGGAGGGCGGGTGAGGCCAGCCTGCCATGGCTTTGAGAGGTCAGCCCAGCCACTCTGCCGCCTCCTGAGTGGGCGAGGGCCATGGCTCCAGCCACCAGGGCAGAGGCCTCACTCAGCCGGGAGTCCCACAGGTGGCCGGGCAGGGCCACCATCCCAAGGGGCCTGGGTGCTGAGCCCCATGTCTCTCAGGTCCAGCACCCTTGTCCATTGTGCCCAGCCTGGCACAGCAGCAGTGGCCTGCCCTCCCATCTCAGGCTTCTGAGGCACGGCCAGGCCAGCAGAGCAGCACCACATGCAAGGGCTCATCAAGGACTCAGCCCAGTGCGTGAGCTCAGGGCCGAGCAAGGTGGGGCTGGGCACGACCCCCACAATGCACAGCTGGGGGGCCAGGAACCCAGGCTCAGTGCCAGCAGCAGGGACCCCCTCACTCCCATGCCTTCGTGGGCACCCCAACCTGCATGAGAGCCAGACACATGCCCCAGAGCTTGGGGACGGTGGCACCAGGAGACCACTCCCTCTTAGGAGGCCTGGGGCTTGGCACAGGGCATGGGGCTGCCCACCTGGCTGTACGGACGGCTGTCTCAGGACATGGTGAGGATGAAGGGCCAGGTTGGGAAGCATCACTCACTCCCAGATACTGCTGTCCTGGGTGGGGGCAGAGACAGACGTCGCCAGTGTGCGGTGGGCAGGGCCCCGGCTGGGGGCACACAGAGTCCTAGTGTGGCTCTGAGGCTTGGAGACAACCCTCCCTACCTCTGCCAGGTCCCTCTGCTCCGTGGCCTGTAGACGGCTCACCTGCAGTGGGCTGGGAAGTGGGACGGGGGGTGTAGGCACCCAGGCTTAAGTGGGCTGTGCATGCGGTGGGGGGGGCCAGGTCCCTGGTCTCCTCCTCCCTCCTCCCACCTCATGACTGTGTGGCCTTCTTCCCACCTCCCCACATCCTTCTGGGGAGGGATTTGCTACCAAGACTGGTGGAAGGGGCCCAGCCCAGCCAGGAGCAGGAAGCAGGAAAGAGGCGAGGGCCAGGGGTGGTGGGAACAGTGTTTGACCTGGGTGGGCAGGGCCGTGGGGCTGAACTACACCTAGGAGGGGCAGGCAGGCCAACAAGTGCCCACCATCTGCCTTGGCTAGCCTTCTGACTGGATCCACTTCACAGATGAGAAAACCGAGGCCCAGAGAGGGGACAGGGCCTTGACCATGGGCAGAAGGAAGGGCTGAGGCTGCCTCAGGGAGCGACCCAGGCAGGGGGAGGTGGAGATGCCAAGAGGAACACATCTCTTTCCAGAATCCCAGGTGAACAAGATCCCTGCAAGGCCCTGTGTTAAGAGGAAGGGGAGACAAAGGGCCAGCCAAAGCTGTCCTCACAAGGCAAAGTCATTCCTCAGAGTGGTCAGGTTCTGGAGTGGGGGTCTCAAGGGCCCAAGCTAGGGCTCTCCGGAGGCCTTCCTGGAGGCGGTGGCCAAGCCTGATCACGGACCCTCAGTTTAGCCAGATGCCAGGAATGCTCTGCCACATTGGCTGCTGGCATATGTCAGCATTGGGGCCCCAGGCCTCCCAGGCAGCCTTCACTGGCCATTTCCCTCAGGGGATCAGCCTCGGAAGGAAGGCCACCCTTGGAGGTCCCTCAGCCTGTCCCGGGTCCAGGCCTCTAGCCTTTCCAGAGACTCCAGCAGGGAGACCCCTCCTGCAGGCAGCCACAGGCTTTCCATGGCAATCACCTGCCCCACTGCCACTTGGACAAGGGCCTGAAACACACACACAAAAGGCCCAGGCCTCAGTTTCCCCATATGCAGCATGAAGGGAGGAGTCCTTGGGCGGCAGATGTGCTTAACTGCTCAGCTACTGACCAAGAAATTAGCAGCTGGAGTCTGGCCAGAGGTGCCTTGGAAGAAAGTCCTGACCGTCGCCCTCTAACGTATCAGCCACTGAAAACGCTCCAGGGCCCAGGTCTACTCGACACGTGGGGTTGCTGTGTGTCACGATCGACAGCCAATGTTTGGTTTTTTGGTGCATGGGGGGTGCACAGACGACCCAGAGCCCTTCCAGCCTTGTGCCTGCCCCAGTGTCTGTGTCCACCTCAGTCCGCATGCCGTCCGCTTCTGAAGGTCATGGGCCCCCTCCAGCCCCTGGGCACGCCCTAGACCCTGGCACCTGAGGCAGGACCCATCCCTCTGCCCCACCCGGTCAGGTGCACGCGCACCCCCCCCCGCCCCACCTGGTCAGGTGCACGCGCACACCCTCCGCCCCGCGCCGTGGATGGGTCTGGAGGCTCAAGTCACAGAGCAGGGGGCAGGCAGCAGCACCTTCCAAACAGGCAGAGGAGGGAATTTTGTGATGTTGAAACAGCGTGATGGGACCAGGGAGGTGACACGCAAGCTGAGCCTCAGGACAAGGGGGAGCTGTGAGAACAGGGACAAAAGGTCCCAGGCCAAGGACAGGGAGTCCCTGGAGGAGGGCCGGGATCAGGGGAGGGAGTCGGATGTGGTGTCCGCTCAGCTCCCCAAGCTGGTGCTGAGTGTCCCTGGGGGCCATGTGGCTGCAGGGACAGAGAGCGGGGCCGTCTTCTCTGTGTCCCAAGGACCCTGACCCTCAAGGACTCTCGGGAACATCGGGCATGCTGATGAACCTCTCTGAGCCGGGGTTTCTGTCTGTTCCCAAGGAGCGGGGATTCCAGCCAGGACCTCCGAGCACCCAGGCTCAGTGTTACGGGGACACAGACTGCGTGGTCCGTCACAGGCAGGGCTGCCAGGAGGGTGAGCATCAAGGGGAAGAGGCCTGTGCGATCCGTCAGGGGCAGGGCTGGCCCTTTGTGGCTGTGCCCACCTGCCCTTATAACCAGCGGGGAGCTGCAGACCCCACCTGCCACCCAGCCTTCCTGCCCAGGACACCTTGAGTGGAGGGGGTTCTGCAGAGACCTCCAGCACCAGGGCGGACAGACAGGATGGTCAGGTGGCCAAACACAGAACCACAGTGTCCACCCTCACGGCCAGACCCTGCACCTGACCTAGGGACCTGTCCCCCACCCAAAGCACCCAGGAATGTTTCCAGAGTATCTTCTGGGGCCTGAACTTCCCTTTTGCAGTTGAGGTGATAGGACAGAAGGAGCGTGTCGAGCACACAGTCGGCAGCACTCAGCATTCACTGCCTCGGGTACAGCTTCAGCTCTGCCAGCTTGCCGCCGTTTCCATCCCAAGGGAGACCCCGTGCCCAGTTAGCAGTCACCCCCATTCTCCCGCCCCAGCCAGTGCCAGGACTGTTAGAACCTCCCGACCATCACCACCCTCTCTAGCCCCCGCCCCCGTCCCTGGGGCCTGGGCAGCAGCTGCCTGGCAGCCAGGCCCAGGCAGGTGAGGGCACCTGGCGACCAGCAGGTTCCTGGGAGCCAGCTGCCTCTGAACAGCCAGCCCAGAGGGATAGGGTGTCGGCAGGGGGCAGGGCCTGGCTTCTGCAGCTCCCCCCTCTCCTTAGCCCTTCCTCAGGGCCTAGCAGCCCAGCCAGCTCAGGTGGGCCAGGTGGGCCAGTGGGAGGTGGGGTGGCCGCTGCCCCGCCCCAGGCCTGGCAGGCACCCTAGAGGGAGTGGCTTTGCACCGCCCCTGGAGGAGGGCCACGTGGCCACGTGAATGCCCAGCAAGGCTCCTGGGAGGCCAGGCCTGGAGGCTGAACCAGGGAGCTTCCTGCCTGCAGAGGTAGGCACTGGGCCCTGGACTACCAGTCGGAGGGGAGGAGGCCAGGACAGGGCTGAGAGCTCAGGAGAGGGCCAGAGCCCAAGGACAGGCGTCTAGGCTGCTGAGCTGGTGTGGGGGCTGGCCGGGGCAGGTGGCAGAGCCAGGCTCCTGGGGGGCCTGCAGGTGCAGGCAGAGGCCGGACGTGGGGGTGGGCTGCTCACCCCTCTGCTGCTGCGGGCAGTGCCGACTGGGCTGTTCCCAGGGCCCCACCCAGGCAGGGAGGCAAGAGGGGCTCCCCCACTTCTCAGTTCTGGCTTGAAGACAGTCTTTGACCCCTCAAAAGTGGGCTCTGGATCCCACTTGATCACGAGCTGACAGGTTGCCGGTTCGAACCCACTTGGAGGTGCTCTGCAAGAAAGGCCTCGTGATTTCCTTTCCCAAGTTCACAGCCCTGGACCCTGGGGGTGCAGTTCTATTCTGCACAAACGGGCTCAGTACAGTCGGAATTGGAGGATGACCACCAACAACCACCACAAGCCCTGGGGAAGAGGGGACACGAGGCAGGGACCACCCCAGCCACCCAGTCAGCTGGGTGGGAAGGGAGGGGAGCCTGGGGCTGGCCTTGGAGCTGGGGCTTCAGGGAGATGAGTCTTCTCCAGGGCAGAGAGCCGAACCGGTCAGACTCAGTTCCCACGGAGGGGACGGGATGACCGCACAGCTGCCGGGGATGTCGAGTCGTGTGGGCTGGGGCCTAGGCAGAGAGGCACCTTCCCTGCTAGGCTATGGCTGTGGGGGCTTGGTGGGCACGGCCGTCCTGCCCCCTCCCGTCTCGGCCTGCTCCTCCTCCCCTTGCTCCCTCCCTGCCCGGCTGCTTCCTGGGTCTGAACCTTTGCCCTCCCCCGCTCCTTCCCCCCTGCAGATGAGTAATGCCTCGGGGATCCCAGGCACAGCGGTTCCCCTGGCGGATTCTGAGACCTGGCCCCAGCCCAGCCTCCCACCAGCCACACCCACGCTGCCCACTGGGCCGCAGATGGACCGCCTTGGGAACAGCTCCCAGGGGGCCCCCAAGCTCTTCCTCACCACCTCACTGGCCCACGGCATCTCAGGCATCTTCGTGTGGGCCGCGCTGGTACTCACCTGCCACCAGGTAAGCCTGCCCACCTGTGGAGAGCTCCTGATGGGGGGTCTGAGTTCCTCAGAAAGCAGGGAGCAGGGTCCAAGCTGGGCTGCAGGAGGGGCACCCTCCTCCGCAGACCCCTCTGTGGATGGCCTCCAGCTGCGGAGGCAGCACAATGGACAGGCAGCACGCTCACTGCCTGGGCAGAGGTTATGGAGCAGGCAGCACGCTTACTGCCTGGGCAGGGGTTATGGAGCGGGCAGACAGGAAGTGATGCCCGCACTCAGGGGCGGACAAGGGGACGGGGGCAGGGGGGCCTGGAAATTCTTGGAGGAATGGATAGGACCAGGGAAGATGTTCCCAGCCAGGGGAGTCGGGGAGCCCACGCAGCAGACAGCAGGGAAGGGGTGAGGGGAGCCCACACGGTGGACAGCAGGGGCAGGACGTGGAGCCCACATGGGTGCCAGTGAGTGGAAGGAGTCTGACGGGGGCAGTCAGCTGGAGAGAAGCAGAGAGGCCTGAACAAGAAGACGTGGGCACCAGAGTAAGGAGTTGAGCCTTCCGTCGTGGGTGGGCGCTGGGGAGCCACAGCAGGCTGTTACGGGAGTGAGTGCACAGCCATACAGCTCTAAGACGGCTAATCTGGTGTTGACCAAGGGGATGGATTGAGGGCAGTCAGGAGACTGGCAGGCAGGGACATCCTGAGCCCAAGCCCCAGAGGCCGTCCAAGTGGGGGGGCCTGTCATACACCTTTCTCAGTAACAGCCACCCACTGTGTGGGGCGTTCCCAGGGTGGCAGACACAGTGTGTGAGAGATGGCTAGGCAGAGCACAGTGAGGCTGAGCGTGGCAGAGACAGCCCCTTCCTGCTGGGGCTACCCGAGAGGACTTCCTGGAAGAGGCGGCATTTGAACTGAGTGTTGCCAAGGTGCTCTGGATGTCTGGACAGGTAGACTTGACAGGTGGGTGGTGCACGTGCATTTGCAGGAGAAGCAAAGCCTTACCCTCTAGCGGTGGGGCAGAGCTGTAACTGGTACAGGCTCGTGGTTTAAGGAGCAGCCAGGTGGCGGGGAAGGAGCCCTGGTGGGACCCGCGGTTAAGCTCTCGGCTGCAAACTGAAAGGTTGGTGGTGTGAATCCACCCAGCGTCTCTTCAGGAGAAAGACCGGGAGGTGTGAAAAGAGGGGGAAACTGAGGCGGGCGAGGTCAGTGGCGGGCCAAGGTCACCCAGCTGGGCAGAGCCGGCCATCTGCTGACGTGGTCACACTTCACCTCCACCACGCTGGCTGGGAGTGAGCTCTGATAAGGAGTTGGCCTCCGCCCCATGTGGCACCTACAGAGCTGAGAGCTGGCAGTGTACATGCTGTCCCCTCGCCCTCCACACCTCACCCACACGGTGCCTCCTCCAGGAAGCCTGCCCAGGAGCCTGACCCCCTGCTCCTCTTCTGTTAGATGATAAGATGATCACTCACAAGTCCCCGCGGCCCAGGGGCAAGGAACTGATGTCCTCCCTCCATCCTCCCTCCCTCCTCCTCCCTCCCTCCTTCCTCCTTCCCTCCCTCCCTCCCTTGAACCTACCAGCTGCTCCACAGAAGAAAGATGGGGCAGTCTGCTTCTATAAAGACTACAGCCTTGGGAACCCCTGTGGGGCAGTTCCACTCTGTCATATGGGGTCTCTATGAGTTGGAAGTGACTCAATGACAATGAACGTGGTTTTTGGTGTCCTTTCCTCTCCCCTGCACATTTTAACATATCTGGGGTCCCACTTGGCTTGTTATGATGACTTCTAAATGTTGCATTGTATCAGAGCACCCTCCCGCCATGTTATTTCTTTGAACAGCCTTTTTAGTGGCTATATACTATTCCTCTCATGGCTGGACCATAGTCAGCCTGACCACACTGCTATAAGCAAAGCCCATGATAGCTTCTCACTGTGGGTCCTACAATGAATACCCTTGCCCACTGTTGTTGTTGTTGTTATGTGTCATTGAGTTGGACCCAACTCATAGCGACCCCTCCTTGGGTTGCCGAGGCGGTATCACTATGGAAGTAGATTGCCCAACCTTCCTTCTGAGGAGTGGCTGGTGGGTTTGAACCCCCAGCCTTCTGGTTAGCAGTCAAGTGCCTTAGGCACTATGCTACCAGAGCTCCTCCCTGCCCACTAGCAGTTTTTCATTTCTGAATATGTTTGTTCCCTGGGACAAATTCCTCCGAGAGGTCAGAGGGCGTAAGCTCATTTGACACCCGCATGTTGAGATGACAAGTTGCCTTCCTTCCAGAATGTCGTGCCCATTTAGGGTCTGGTCTCTCCCCAGGGTCTGGCACTTGGCAGACCCAGGAGATCCTTGTGGAATAAATGAATGAACGAGTGAGTGAGTGAATGATGAGTGTCCCACCTCTAGGTCATTTGTTAAGAAAAAGAGCTGCCTCAAGTCAAAGGAAGTCCTGACAGAAAACGCAAAGCTGTGGCAGAAGACACGCTCCCTCTGCTTATAACCGGCTCTGTGGTAGGATCTCACCTTCTGTGCAGAGACCTAAGAATTTCCCATGGTACAGTGGTTAAAGCATGGGGCTGTTAACTACAAGGTTGGCAGTTTGAACCCACCAGCAGCTCTGTGGGGAAAAGACAAGGCACTCAGCTTCTGTTAAGATGACAGCCTTGGAGACCCTGTGGGCAGTTCCACTCTGTCCTCTAGGGGCGCTGTGGGTCAGAATGGACTCCACAGCAGTGAGTGTGGTTTGGGCTTTGCTTCTGTGAAAATTGACAGCCTCGGAGACTCTGCGGTGCAGTTCCACTCTGTCCTCTAGGGGCGCTGTGGGTCAGAATGGACTCCACGGCAGTGGGTGTGGTTTGGGCTTTGCTTCTGTGAAGACTGACAGCCTTGGAGACCCTGTGGGCAGTTCCACTCTGTCCTCTAGGGGCGCTGTGGGTCAGAATGGACTCCACGGCAGTGGGTGTGGTTTGGGCTTTGCTTCTGTGAAGACTGACAGCCTTGGAGACCCTGTGTGCAGTTTCACTCTGTCCTCTAGGGGCGCTGTGGGTCCGAATCGAGTCCATGCAGTGGGTTTTTTATGCAGAGACCTGGGTTTGATTCCTGGCCAATGCACCTGTCTGTCATTGGAGGCTTGTGTGTTGCTGTGATGCTAACCAGGTTTCAATGGCATTTTCAGACTCAGGTGGACTAGGCAGGAAGGCCTGGTGATCTTCTGACTATCACAAGGGTCCGACCCACACCAGTTGTGGCTGACGCAGGACCCGGCAGTGTTTTGTTCTGTGCGAGGTTGCTGTGAGTCAAAAGTGGACCTAGTGGCAGCATCACCCACACATGAGAGGCAGATCCTCGTAGAAAACACGGGAACACAGGGACAGACAAGGAAAAGAAAGGAACCCTGGTGGTGTGGTGACTAAATGGCTGCTACCCAAAAGGCCAGGTGTTCGAACCCACCCAGCTCCTCAAGAGAAAGACCTGGTGGTCTGCTCCCATAATGCCTACAACCTAAGAAACCCTATGGGGTCGCTGTGAGTCGGAGTCGACTTGACGGCCCCGTGAAAAACAACACAAGGAAAGAGCAAGATCCCTGGGGGCCTGCCTCCCCCCGCCAAGGAAGCTTTATGTGGCTTGTTGGGCATGTACCCCTGTCCCCTTCCTTCCTCACACTTGAAGGGCCATACCCACGTTGGGCAGGGGGTCAGCATGTGAACGGCCCCGCTGCCTGGCCACGGGACGCCCGCCCTGCCCCGACCCCCTGCCTCCCACAGATCTACCTGCACCTGCGCTCCTACACCGTCCCCCACGAGCAGCGCTACATCATCCGTCTGCTCCTCATTGTGCCCATCTATGCCCTGGACTCCTGGCTCAGCCTCCTGCTGCTGGGGAGCCGTCAGTACTACATCTACTTCGACTCGGTTCGGGACTGCTATGAAGGTGAGGGGCCCTCGGGGCAGCCAGCCTGGCTCCCAAGGCTCCACTGAGGATGGCGGAGTGAGGAGGGGCTCTCCAGGGTCTCACACCCTCACTAGTGGGCAGCACCAGTCCCAGCCCCCAGGCACCCAATCTTACAGGCCCCGTCTGGAGGGGCTGTCCTGGTGGCAGGGACTGGTAATGGCTCCAGGGGCGTTCAGTGGACTAAGGGCTGCAGGCAGGCCGCCTAGAGGTGGCAAAGCAGGAAACCGGGCCCTGGGCAGGGACTAGGGGCTGTGAGAGCCGTCCCCGGAGGCAGTGGCAGGCTGCAGACTTCAGAATAAAGGGCATCCTGCCGGCAGGTCCAGCTGCTTCCATGGCACCTGCTGCCTGCAAGGCGGCTGGTGGTCAGAGAGCTGGAGAAGGGCCCTGAGGGGCAGCCTGGCCCCATGCGTCCCCTCCTGAGCCTCTGTTTCTCCTTGGTGAAAGGTACCCTCTTAGGCCTGGCAGAGGAGGGGTGGTCAGGAGGCTCTGTGCAGGTGCCCTGTGGGAGGCCGTGGCCCGGCTGCCGGAACTCACTGCACCCCTCACCCCGTACCGTCAGCCTTCGTCATCTACAGCTTCCTGAGCCTCTGCTTCCAGTACCTGGGCGGCGAGAGCGCCATCATGGCTGAGATTCGGGGGAAGCCCATCCAGTGAGTGCCTCGCCCCAGGGCCCTCCACGCCAGGGACAGGCGCCACTGAGCCCCACTCTGGCCCCGCCCCGCGCCCCGGCCCCGCCCCCGTGCCCGCCACGTCAGGGATAGGGGAGGGGACAGGGCCCGAGAGACCACTGGGCCCACCAGGGCCCTGCACGTGGGGCCAGAGGGCTAGGCATTCAACAAGCCCGGCTCAGGAGATCCCTGCTCGCAGGTCCAGCTGCTTCTACGGCACCTGCTGCCTGCGAGGCATGTCCTATTCCATCGGCTTCCTGCGTTTCTGCAAGCAGGTGCGTGGGCTCGTCCACGCCCATCTGACCACCGACTGGAGGGGTCCACACGCAAGCCAGCCCTGCCTGTGCTGACTCACAGCCAGATGCCCGGTCCTTCCTCCTGGACTGGTCCAGGGATGGACCCCTTCCCCGGGCCACCCTCACCCCCTGCCCCCGTGTCCACCCCCACACCCAGGCCACGCCCCTGTGCCTGGCGCAGACCACGCCCCCCCGCACTCACTCCCAGCCTGCTGCACGCCCCGCCCCCGCCCCGCCCTAACTCCTAGGCCCCGCCCCCGCCCTACCCCACGCCTCGCCATGTCTCGCCCTCACGCACCGACCCCAACCCACTCTGCCCCCGACCACGCCCTCATTCGTGACCACGCCCAAAGCCCCGCCCCATTTCCCTGGCCCCGCCCCTGCCCTGCCCTCACGCCTTGACCCTGCCCCCAGCTCCACCCTCATTCCCTGACCACGCCCCTGGCCCCTCCCTCACTCCCTGGTCCTGTCTCACGCCCCACCCCTCACGCCCCGGCCTCGCCCCACGCCCTGCCCTCACTCCCTGGCTCCGCCCCACACCCCGCCCTCACTCCCTGGCTCCGCCCAGCGCTCCGCCCTCACCCTGGTCCCGCCCCCAGGCCACCCTGCAGTTCTGCATCGTGAAGCCCACCATGGCTGCGCTCACCATCATCCTGCAGGCGCTGGGCAAATACCACGAAGGGGACTTGAAGTAAGGCCCTGGGGTCCCGGCACTGCCTGCCGCAGCCCAGAGGGAAGGCCGGTGCCAGGCAGCGGGCTCTGCGGCCGGGGGGGCGGGCAGTGGGCGCAGCCTCCTGACCCCGCGCCGCCCGCAGCCTCCGCAGCGGCTCCCTGTACATCACGCTGGTCTACAACGTGTCCGTGAGCCTGGCCCTGTACGCGCTCCTGCTCTTCTACGAGGCCACCCGCGAGCTGCTGCGCCCCTTTGAGCCCCTCCTCAAGTTCCTCACCATCAAGGCCATCATCTTCCTGTCCTTCTGGCAGGGTGGGTGCGCCCGCGGTCGGGGGCGGTGAGGGGGCTGCAGCCCATGGTCAGGGGAGGTGCGTGAGGCGGACACCGCCCGCTTTCGGGGACGGTGAGGGGACTGCTGCCGGTGGTGGGGGAGGGGAGGTGTGCCGCCGTCAGCGCCATCCCAGGCTGGGTGTGAGCACTAGATGTGGTTCTGTAGATATGGTTCCGGAAAGCCAGGGTGGGTCCTGGGGCAACAGGCCACCTGCTGGGTCAGGACCCAGGCTTTGCGGACGCCTGCCCTGCAGACTCCGTGGGGTCAGGTGCCTCCTCCCAGTGACCGCCCCTTCCCCAGGGATGCTGCTGGCCATCCTGGAGAAGTGCAAGGTCATCCCAGAGGTGCAGGCCGTCGACGGGAGCCTGGTGAGGGCGGGCACGCTGGCCGCCGGCTACCAGAACTTTTTCATCTGCATTGAAATGCTCTTCGCCTCCGTGGCCCTGCGCTATGCCTTCACCTGCCAGGTGTACTCGGAGAAGCAAGACTTGCCAGGTCCGGGTGCCAGCAGGGCTGGGGGGGGAGGGGCGTGATGAGGAGGGGCCTGGTGGGGGAGGGGACGGGATGGGGAAGAGACATGGTGGGGGTGGGTACAAGGAGGAGTGGCTTGTCACTGGGACAGGAGGGGCACCAGGCCTCCCTGGCCTCCACCAGTGCGCTCCAGGCTGGGGGAGTGTGGGTCGGTTTCTGGAACCAGGGAATATCAACTAGACTGGCAGGTGCCTGGTCCAGGGACACCCCGCCTTCTGCCCACTTCACTTTCCAGCTGGCAGGTGAAGGGTCCAGTCAGCACAAAGCCGGGGCGGGTAGTGAAGACAGGTCAGCAGCCTGAAGGCCCCTAAGCAGTGCCCGGACAAGCAGCCACACCACAGCCGGTGCTGGGCCAGCCAGACTGGTCCAGTGAGTGGCCTACTGGGCATCTTCTGGCTTGGAGAGGCCAAAGATGTCAGAGGGAAGGGGACAGCTAGCCTGAGACCCTGGAGGACCAGTGCCTGTGGGTTGAGGCTGAGGGGCTGGGGCCATCTTCAGGGGCACCCCAAGTCCTGGCACTGGCCACCGTGGGCAGCAGGGCACGGGCTGCACGAGGGCCATAGCTGCCGTTCACAGCTGCTTGCCCGCCCGCAGTGCCCCCTGCCCCCATGCTGAGCATCTCCAGCGGCCTGAAGGAGACCATGAGCCCCCAGGACATCGTGCAGGATGCCATCCACAACTTCTCGCCCGCCTACCAGCAATACATGCAGCAAGCCACACATGAGGCCCCGGGGCCTGGCCCCAACACGGGCCCGGCGGGTGGGGGCAGGAAGAACCGCAGTGTGGAGAAGAGGATGCTGATCCCCGATGAGGAGCTCTAGGGGGTTCCCAGCCCCACTCTTGCCAAAGGCCCGCTCCCGAGCCAGCCTCCAGCCAGGGGCCCCACGGCCAGATGCCTGTCCGAATGGACCACAGCCTGGGAGAGGCATGTGAGCAAATCCACAGCCAGGGGACCACTGTGGGGCTTCAAGATGGCCTGGTCGTTGGTCCCTTGAACAGCAGCCCCTGCAGCCCGCCTGGGCTGTAGAGGAGCTGGGAGCTGCCTGTTCAGTGTGGCTGGGGTAGATGGACAGAGGGACACATTCCAGGCTGAGTAGCCGCAGAGGACCGGAGAGAGCCCAGATGAGCAGGCTTCCCTGGGGAGGGTGGGAGCAGCTGCTGGCTGCACTGTGACTGCTGAGGGCCGGGCAAAGGCTGCCCTCTGCACCACACACTACAGGGCCCTGACAGCCCTCCCACCCAGAGAGGGACACCCATCTTGGCAGCCAGGGCAGCCTTTCCGGAAAGCGGGTTTATTTAGGTTTGAATACGCAAAGCCTGGTCTCTGACATCACTTGTGACTTCTGTCCTTGCACCGGCCGGGGTTCTGCGGGTGGTCCAGAGAGGCCCGGTGCTCTGGGTCTGGGGCTTGGGAGCAGAGCCTCATTCCACCCTAGGGCACGGGGCTGACACCAACCAGCTGTGTCACATGTTCCTAGCAGGCCAAAGGACAGGAACTTTGAGATCAGAGCTGGTGCCCCGCCCCGAGCCTGCTTCCTGGTGCCATCGTGGCCACAGTATGCTGCTCAGCTCTTGCCCACTGGGCCCAGAGCGAGCCCAGCACGGAGCCGCCTTCTCCCGCCCTGCCCTCCTCACACCGGACCCTGTGTGCTGAGCTGGTATCTGGGGGACATGTCATGGGTCCTGGGCACAGGGGCCACCGCATGGGGCCATTACAGAGGGTGCAGATGCAGAAGTGCAGGGTGGTGGGTGGGGCGGGGCATGGGAATGGCAAGGCACTGGGCACAAGGGCTCCCTCCCACATCTCTGCTGCCCACCCCCACGGCCCTGGGAAGGAAAGAGACAGGCCAGGGTCCCAGGACTGACTGGCGGGATCAAGGCCCAAGAGGGGTCACTCTGATGCCATTTGGCTCCCAGGAATGCGGGGGACACTCAACAGCGGCTAGGCTGATAAGGTGGGCCATTCCTGCTCCTCAAGCAGGGCTGGCAAAGTCTCCCAAGCCCACTGTATTGCCCCCCATGGCTGGCAGACTGGGTGCCTCTGCAGCTCGGCTCCCATCCCACTCCACACAGCTTGGCAGGGGCTGGGAGCCGGCCTGGCACACCCCAGGACCTGCCACCCCAGGACTCGTGTTCTGGGGGCCCCAGGAGACAAGGAAGAGGCCAGCCCAGGCTGATGAACTCAGGCCAGAGGCTTGCCCACCCTTGCTCTTCACCCCATAGACCCCTCCCCAGCCTTGCTCCTCACCCCATAGCCGACCCCTGCCTGCGTGCAGATCCCCGGCCCGAGCTGCTGTGCCGGCTTCGTCAGGGGCCAGTGCTAACGGGCACGCGCTGGCAGCCTGAGGGCTGGGCGCTCTGTCAGGGCTGGTGTCTATCCAGCTGTGTGACAAGGACCATCCCAGCAATCTCCCACTCGATAACCCCACACTAGCCTTTCAGGAAGGGGGCCAGGCTGGCCTGGGGTAAGGTGGCCGCTCACAGGCGGACGCCCCCCTCCCTTCCGGTTTCTGTCCAACGTAACAGGGTGAAGGCACCAAGGTGAGTGATGGCCCAGGCCAGGCCCCCCCCGACCAGGCCTGGGGGGCACACTCAAGGGGCAGGAGACATGGCCAGAGGGCAGGCAGAGCCCTGCTCCTGCCTCAGTGGGCTTCAGCATTCCCATCCTCCAAATGGCCCAGTGACGGTCAGTCTGCAGTTTCCCTGGAGGGTGGGCGCACAGGGGGGCCTGAGCCTTCCACCCGGAGGAACACAGGCCCACCACCTAGAGGTCTGGGGGGTGGGCAGGCTGCCTCTACCTGTGACTGGAGACGGACGCAGAGCCTGAGGGGCCCACGTGGGACCCCACGCAAAGCACCGACCACGCAGCCGGGGGCTCTAAAACCAGTCCTTTATTGCAAAGGTACAAAAGCAGCCTGGCGGCAGATGTACAGCAATAAATTACGTGGTGGCAGTGAGACCGGGGGCCTGGGTGACGGGTCCCGGCACCGGGTCTGCTCGCAATAACTTATAACAGAGGCAGCACAAAAATAAATATTGAAATGAAATCAAGGAGCACCCCCGGCGGCTGGCCGGCTGGGTGCCAAGGCCCTGGCTGCGGAAGGCCGTTATCTTTCAGGAAGCAGGGGCCCGTCTGTGGAGGACCCCCAGTCGGAAGCAGAGACAAGGGACAAACCCACATCACAAAGAGGCTTTGCCTTTGTTCGTAAATTAGAAAAACAAATCCATGTATTAAGATCGTGAACACGAGATCTCAGTGATTGGAAGGAAGAGAGTGAGGCGCTGCCAGGTTATTTCCCGGTGGGGCAGCGGGCCCCTGGGGTACGGTGACCCCGGGGGCCCTGCTCCCCTTGGCGGCGGCCTGGGGCCCAGCGCCCCCTGGTGGCGCCCCGCATCCCTTTCTCCATGCGGACAGCGGAGCCTGTCCCTGGCTGTGGAGGCCTCAGGCAGGGCCCTTTGGGGTGGGGGGCAGGCCAGGTGCTGGGGAAGGGGGCCTCACTGGGAGGGCAGGCGGGAGGCCAGGGAGGAGCAGGGCGCCCAGCCCCCCAACCCCTGCTTAAAAGCCAGCTCCGCTCCCATAAAGATTTACAGTATCAAACTTGAAAAAAAATTGTTACAAAAAATCTGTACGATAAAATGTGTATATAATTATATATATATATATATCTCTGTATATCTTTCTCTCTCTTTAAATATCTCCATGGTCCTTACTGATATCCAATATGGATTACCTACCATGGTCATGGTATAAACAGTGTGTGTGTGTGTGTGTGTGTGTGTGTGGTGTGAAACCCTGGCCTTCTGCTCTGCGGGTACCCAGTGCTCCCAGAAGCCACAGTTCGGCCTGCCCTCAGCCTCTCCTCCAGGACAGGGGGCCCTGGAGCCCTCCCCACAGTGGACAGATGCAGCCCTGGCCTCATCTCCCCTGCTCTCCTCTCCAGGGGGATGGACACCCCACACAGGGGATCTTATTTGGTGGTGGTGGCAGGGGTGGGGCCTAGTCGAGGGGGCTGAGGAGAGAGGGGCCAGGGCCAAGGGCCCCCGCTGCTTACCCAGAGGGGGGCTTACAGCCTGTGTGGCACTGGACCCACTGCCCAGCCCAGCTGCCCCAGTCGCAGGCACCTCCCCGCCCGGCATCTCTCTCTCGCCTCGCCAGTAGCACCAGTTGGGAGCCTGGAAGAGCCCGGGGTGGGGGGGGCGTGGCACCTTCCGGAGCCCCCCGAGGTCCCCTGCAGGTCCCAGGAAGCCCAGGAAGTACCTCCAGGCTTATCCTTAAGGCTCAGGAGCCTGGGGAAGAAGGTGCGAGGCCGCGGCCTCAGCGACAATTAAGCACCAAGTTACAATCATCTACCTTTGGGTCTGGCATTCGGGGTCACACACACTAGTGCCTCCTGGCAAAGTCCTGGCCACCTCTGCCCAACACCCTCATCCACTTCCGCGAACCCTCCTCTCCAGCAGCCGGCCCCTCACCCACCCACACACACACACACACACACACACACACACGGGGACTCGAGCCGACACCGCCCCGTGAGGACCAGCTGCTCCTCACCCTCCAGCTTCCTCGGCCGCTTTCCTCCTGTGTCTGAACCTTGTCCTCACATACACCGAGGGCTCGTGGCCCCAGGGCTGCCCAGGAGCCCCTGCTCAGATCACCCCAGTCACCTGGCCTGTGGGCTTGCACCCTGCTGACCTCCCTTGGGGCCATGGCAGCCCATCGCATACCACACTCCCTGCCACACACACACACACACACACGTGTACTCACATGCAGCCCACACGGCACCTGTGTGTGCACATGCACAAACCCCCATCCCATCGAGGACACTGCCCCAAGTCTGCCTCACGGGGCTGGGAGACGTCTGAACACAGCGGGCCCACGGCTGTGCCTCCCTGTGCTCTGCTGTGACCCGCCACAGGCAGACTGGGGCACTGAGCAGGTCAGAAAGGGGCTTCCTGTCCAGGTCAGGGCATTGCTGGGGAGACACATGGGCTGAGCATGTCACAGGCACTCAGGTCTCGTGCCAAAGGCTCCTGAGCCATGTCACCTCTCCCAGCAGCAGGGGCTGCCTCAGTGTGCGTGCCCACAGACCCCGTCTCCACGTCCTGGCGATTTTGGGTGCCAGACAGACCCTAAAAGGACACACCTTCCAGGGAGAAGTGACGCCAGGGCCCAGAAAGGGCAGGGGTGTGTGTGTGTGCGTGGTTGTGTTGTGTGAGCACGTGAGCATGCATGTGTGTGCACGTGTGTGTGGCACGTGGTTGGGTTGTGTGCGTGAACGTGAGTGCCTGTGAGCACATGGGTGAGCACGTGTTTGTACATGTCACGCCCGTGTGTGCATGGAGGACAGTGCCGCACAGGCGTTCACGTCATCCTACACCTACAATCCCCTTCCTGACACACACAATCCGGCCGTGGCCACAGGCCCCCTCTGGGGGGCACACGGGTTGTGCTCCGGCCCCGCCCCCGCGCCTGGGTCGTGCTCTAGGACGCGGCCGAGAAGGGCACGGAGGGGGAGGCGAGCTCGGCGGACTTGACGATGGTGATCACGCTGGTGGTGGTCGCCTTGGAGGGCGCCACGGGGCCGCGGGCCACGGTGCGCGCGAAGGTCTGCAGGGCGTCGTACTTGGCGCGCAGGGCGTCCAGCTCCAGCCGCATGCTGCTGTTCTCCCGGGCCAGCTTCTCCACCTCCTGCTGCAGCGCCACGCGCTGCCGCTCCAGCTCCTCCTTCTGCGTCACCCGCTTGATGCGGCAGCTGGCCGCGTAGCCGCGGTTCTTGAGCGTGCGCCGGCGCTGCTTCAGCCGCGTCACCTCCTCCTTGGTGAGTCCGCGCAGGTGCTGGTTCAGCTCCCGCACTGACATGCTCACCAGCTCGTCATCACTGAGCGCCGGTGCGTTCTCACCCGCCTCCTTCTTGACCTGCAGGGCGCACGGGGG